GAAGGTAAATTTGAGATCATGCAGTGAGCAAGCAAGAAGGCTGGGCTCAACATAGGCCAACTTTCTTTTACTATGTTCTGCCTCAAAGTAGAACCTCTGGTGAAAGAAATACTTACTGTAGGAAGGCAATGATTAAAATATAGACAGGAAAAAAAAAAAGAAAGAAAGCACAGAGTAATTTGGCTGGTGATCTGGGTTTTCTAACCAGAAGAAGTCTTTGATGAAGGAAAAGTTATCTAAAGGAAGTGATGGGGGTTCCATTCCTCTCAGATACAAATGATGTTGAACGGCACTGCATATGATGTATCACGCCATAAGTCAGGCTTGCATGAGGCTTTCTTTTAGTTCCGTAGAATGACACACATTTAGATGTTCTCTGAGAATCACTGGCACTGATGGTGCTCAGTCCCTGGCAAGTACAGGGACTTGGTTGCAGGACTCCTTCATCTTTGGGGGGAAAAACATCTTTCTTCCACGTAAGGGTAAAAGAAATCACTTGCCAGAAGCTCAACATTTACTGCACACATAGACTCCCTTGTTTAGTTTTCCAAATAATGAAAATTTCAGTTATACCCATAAACTGCCTATAGCAGGGAAAGGTAACACTCAGTCAGAAATGTCTTCATCTCTTCTAAGTTGATTGTTGAGTTTTTCTCTTGTGGTTTCTAAGCACACATTACCCAATGACCTAAAACAACTGCCACAAACCAACTCGCTTTTTATTTTTCTTTTCCAGAAATAAAGGAAAGAGACAGAAGTCCAATTCAGAAAGTACCGAAATCAAACATCCAATGAACTTTGTTCCCTGCAAGTAAACCCCTTATCAGTCTCTGGCAGAGATTCTAAAACGCTTATCTCGATAGATCAGATCATGGGGCTGACCCACTCTCAATGCTGAGTAGGAATCAAATGGGCATTCTCTCTGTCAGCAACCCCTGATTTGCCAATCCAGATAAATCAATTAATGGGATGCAGAGCTGCTGCCTGGCCTTTCTCTGCCTCACGCTTACCTCCCTGAGCTCCCCACAACTCCTCAGACCCCAGTTTAATACCATCTAAGAGTGCTTATTACCAAGAGGACTTGTGCAGGTGCAAGCTTTCAGGCCCGCAGCACAGGAGCAATTGTCGCCCCTCCCCTCCCAAGCTCCAGGCTCCCCT